CCAACACAATACCACCCAGGAGGGTAGTGGAGCGGAGGCGGAACAGGGGGAGGGATGGTGGGCCAGGTCCATGTGGAAATGGAGAGACTGGGAACTGAGGCAAAGCCGGCAGAGCAGGGCACCAAGGTGGAGCAGATGGAACAGGAGCCCACCAGGGCAGAGCAGACGGAGCAGAAGACCTCCATGGCGGAGCAGACAGAGCAGGAGCCCACCCTGGGCCTAACTCAGGGACATGAGCCCTTCCTGGGCGGAACTGAGGATCTGGAGCCCTTCCAGGGTGGTACTGGAGATCAGTATAGCGCTTCCGTGATGCTGGCACTGGAGGGTGCTCTGGAGCAGCAGGCACAGCAAAGCGCTTTCGAGGAGCTGGCACTGGAGTGAGTCTTGGGGCTGGAGCCAACACTGGAGCGAGCTCCGGGGCTGGAGCCGACACTGGAGACGGGGCTTAACTCGGGAACAGGAGCCCTCCCTGGGCTTAACTCGGGAACAGGAGCCCTCCCTGGGCTTAACTCGGGAGCATGAGCCCTTCCTGGGCTTAACGCGGGAACAGGAGCCCTCCGTGGGCTATAATTGGGAACAGGAGTCCTCCCTGGTAGGGACTGGGACCTGGGTAAAACTGAGACACAAGAGACAGACAGAGCATATACAGTCTCATGACATTTGCACTCTCTATTCTGTTTCTATTCTAACTTGTTTTCTTTGAATTAAAAAAAAATGACCCTCTAACACTAGTGTTCTCTACTCTTTTTCTATTCTTTTGTCCTTGCTATGTGTACTGCATTAGACTAACTGAGACTTGTCACAGCACTTGCATATTATTGCTCTTTTGTTGGTTTTGATTGCTTCTATTGTCTTTATTTGTAACCAATACTAGCAGCTGCACTGAAACATAAACTCATAAATGCAACATCTATGAATCATCAACTCAATCACAAATATAAAACAATAGTTTAATTCCAGAAATCCAAACTGAATCATAAACATGAAAAGTATCTAAATGTGTGTGTGATTGACCTGATTCTGTGTGCTGTGAGCTACAGATGTACAACAACCAGCTGAGGGTCC